AGTGCCTCAATTTAATGTGCACTATTTCTGGCAGTCCACTTAGGCCTTTTGTCTCTATGCATCTATAATCTCAGCTCCCTTCTTATAAATTGGGTTTGCTTCCTGCTAACTATTTGAACTAATATTAAAAATTCCCCAAGATGAACCTCATATTACAAAATGTATGGGAAAACCTTGGAGTACATGCTACCTTTGAATCCAGTTACTTTTTTTGAAGCATTGGAAGTTGCATAAGTGTTGACTTACCAAGTTGTCATTAATTTAATGGGTCTAATGTAGTTAGGACTAACAATTGGATAATAGGCCTCTGTTTTAATAAGGAACATTCACAGGCCTGTTAGACATGCCATAGCTAAAGCTCAACATGACTTTATCTGGCACACAATACTGGGGAACAGTGTAGTTGTATTAGTCTTTTACAGCAAAAACAACCAAGAGCATTGTGGCATCTTAAAGACTGACAAATTTTATTTGGCAGAGGCTTTTGTGCACTGCAGCCTACATATGCCAAATAAAACTTCAAGGTGTCCTACAACGTTATTTTATTCCATCTACAGTTCTTGCCCAGTGCATAACGAATTATTTACCTTTTCCAATATATCATGGAGTGAATTCCATCTAGGTGTATTTCTAACACTTTGGCTGGAATCCTGTTGGTGAAATACATGCATGTGTATGTCTTGTAGTGCTTTCTACTACGCCTTTTGGTTCTGTTCAAAACCACCTTCCCCGCAGCTCCCAAGTCCCAGGGCACTGCTATAGCTGTTCGATGGACAGGGAGAGGGAAAGGACCAGTCAGTAGGGGCTCCCTTCCATCCCTGCTGCAGATCTCTAAGTTTTCCCTGCTACTCAGATCCTGTCTGATCTTGGAATTTAAACAGAGTAAACCCAGGTTAGTACTTGGATGAGGGACTGCCAACAAATACCAGGTGCTGTAGGCTATATTTCAGAGAAGGAAACTGACAAAATACCTCTAAGTATTCCTTGCCTAAGTAAACCTATGAAAAATTAATGGGGTTGCGATAAATCAAAGGTGACTTGGAGACAATACACACACAGAGAGAGAGAGTCACCTCCCTGCCACTCTTCCCTGGCAGTTTAATGGTCACAGCAGTGCACCCCAGAGCTTGGTGGCTGCAGGGGGAAAGAGACAGGCAGAGCTGCTCTCAGAGAACATTACCCTCTGTATGTTCAATGCAAGATCTTGGCTAGTATGGCTATTTCAACATGCCTACTTATGTATCAGTTCATGCTATTATTGCTTAGAGGCATAGTTCTCTTTCTTTCCCATTTCTACACAACCAGCATTCTCAAAGTAATCAGTGGATGCAAATAAAGTGAAAACATTATTGGAAAGAAAAGCAAGAGTAACTCACTAATACAAGGTCAGTTTGTCAAGATCACTGTTCATGTTAACTGGGAATTTCCTCCCCAGTTTCAGCAATTTCTCTAGAGATTCGAAGATGAAAATGAGGCAGATCAAAGATGCAAAAGCTTCTTCTGTAAATCGGGTAATGTAGCAGACAAGAGAGCTGGCATCGGTTGCCACAAGAACAATGCACAGGAAAGTAGTCCACAGGCCAATGCACGTCCGTAAGGAGAGATAAGAAAGGCTATGGTCTCTGCAGAAGAGAGGACAAACAAAAGTAATAGGGTGCAGGAAATAGGAACTACTCAACACAGTCCTGGTACTGATCACAAAATCACAAAGTCAAAGGGGTTTATCACACAGGGGAAAACTGAAAGTATAAATGGTGATTAACCCATGATTAACCCACAACTGTGTGAATAGTTTTCACACGCATCAGTGTGCAAAATGCTATTATCCCGTACAGAATCCGTGATTAACCCACAATTGCGTGCATGTGCAAATGGTTTTCACACGACATTGAGATGAAACGTGATTAAAGTACCATTAACCTGTGAAGAGCCAGGCAAGAAACAACAGTAACTCATTCATGGAATTTTCCTATGAATGACTTTTTGCAGTTTCTTGCTTGGTTATTCCCTGGTTCTTCACGGGATAGTGGCACTAACATTAATGTCGTTTTAAGCATGTCTTAATGTAAATTGCACAATTTCATTGGGTTAAGCATTGTTTAACCTCCCAGTTTCCCATGTGTGATAAACTCTGTAGAGGTATAAAAGTTATCTAGTCCTGACTGTTATCCATTAATACATCAGCATCCCCTTTCCTTCCTCTGCTCCTGTAAACAGTGCAGTATATATGTGCAGACCCATCAGAAAGCATTCAAGAATGACCACCTGGATTTTGAGGGACCCATATGTATGAAAACAATCTTATCAAGTACGAAATTCCGCTCCCTTTAACAGCTAAGAGATTAGAAAGCTACCATGGCCTAGCATACTGTTAGTGGCATATAGGCGCTCTTGAGTCCTTTTTTTTTTTTTTTTTTTTTGGTTACTGTGTGGTTTGGTATTTGCTTCCAGCCTCCACAAAATCAAAAATCCACATTAACCTAATAACCTACATGGCTATTCTGTGGCTGGTGGGAAGTGGAGTGGTGGTGGTAACTCCAGGGGGTGTTGAATGTTGCACCCACAGCTGCAACACTGTGCTGTATAGGATCTCAACAACAAAATGAGCTATCATGCCTAGAAAGTATAGACAGCAACTGCAGTCATCTTATAATCACACTCCTAAGAGCAGGGGTTGGCAACTCCCAGCCCGCGGGCCGAGTGCGTCCCGGGGAGGCCTTGAGACCGTCCCATGGCCAGCCCTGCCACCATCACTGCTACCGCCGCATGTGCACTGGCACAAAATGGTGCCTGTGCTTGCGCACGCATGCACATGCCACCAGGCTCCATTTTGGAATTCGCACGGCGCAGGCACCCTTGGGCATTCCAAAATGGCGCCCACCAGCATGCGCATGCGTGCGCGAACACGGGTGCCATTTTGGATGCCAAAATGGTGGCAAGCGCCATTTTGGAAGGCCCAATGCGCCGTGCCTCCCAAAATGGCGCCCCCCATGCGCATGCCCCAGCACCATTCCCCCCCTCCTGGCCCCTGAGGTAAAAAGGTTGCTGACTCCTGCCTATGAGGAACACATTTTCTAGATCTGCTTCTGCTCTTGCCATCCACCCTTCTAGCTGCCCCTCTGAGCAGTGCTCTTTCCTTCTAATTTCTATATCCTTACATAACCAAAAGGTCTAAGCTGGTGTACACTTTTCCTGTTGTATTGCTTTCAAGAAAAGGGAAAATTTGAAAAGCAAAGATTCACCTGAAATGGTTGACAAAAGAAAATGCAAACACACACACTCCTCTCTCTTATATTTATTCCACACTACATATAATGCATTTCTAACAAAATGATTTTTAAATTCTCTACTGACTTAAATTTTAATCATAAAATAAATAGGCATGTCAGCCATACATGAGATTTGTGCCTTCCAGTTTAAATAAATTTCTATTTTGAAATTATAAACAGTCTTTCATCCAGAATAAACAGCATGCCTTGTAATACAATTTAAAGTTTGGTAGGGCCAATCGTCCTCTTTCTTTTTGATCCTGTAAATATTTTAACCTAATTCTTGTTTTTTTCCCCTCCTAAATAAAGGAGTTCAGGTCCTTTTGCCAATCTTTAAACACAGAGTTATTTTTGATTACTGGAATAGTCTGGAATAAAAAGAGTATTTTTGGAAGTATAGACATTTTAATGGTGTCTATTCTACTAAGAAAGGAAATTTTGGCCTCTTTCAATCTTTTATGATCTTCTTTTATCTTCCCCCAATATTTTTAACAAATAAATCTGCATTTTTTCTAGTCAACACTATTCCCAAATGCTTAACTTTTTTGCTTATTTGAAAATCAGTTAATCCATTCAAAAATGTTCTTCGTGGGGTCCTTGACTCCTGCTCGATTGGCAAAAATGAACAGATCTTATTCTAACTTATGTTGGAAGTGTGAGAAGAAGGTGGGTTCATTTATTCACCTTTGGTGGCAGTGTAAAAAAGCGAGGGAATTCTGGTCTAAAATACATCTTACTTTAAATGGTATTCTTGGAATTGAGTTAACACTAGATCCCCAAATTTTCTTATTGGGGATGATAACAGATGATCTTGAAAGAAAATATGGAAAAATAATGTTCTACTCTCTCTCAGCTGCCAGGTCACTTT